TCAGTGGAGCGAAGGCCCTTGCTTCCTAAGGCAAGTTAAATGCCACCAAATGTTGCTTGTGCCTAAACTCCTGCTTCATCTTCCTGGGTCAGGAATAATCCCAGCCACGGAGTTGCTATTTCTCACAGGAAAGGCAGCAGATAGTTCTGTGAAGGAGAGTATGCTAGATTCCTGTGACTACAGTCACACAAGACCACAAACTGAGTGGCTTACAAGAACAGAAATCATTATGAGTGTGAAGTCAAGATATCAGCACAGCCAGTCTCCTCCCAGAGGCTCTGAGAGGCAGCGAGGCCAGTCTCTGGTTTCTGGCAGCCTTAGCTCTTCCTTGGCTTGTGGCTTTTGCCTCCAGTCTCTCCCTGTCTTCAAATGGCCTTCTCCTCCTCTATCTTTTCTTCTGTGTTTTAGACACTTGGCATTGGACTTAGTACCACTAGGATGATTCTATCACCTTAATCACGTCTGCCAACATCTTTTCCCTACATTCTGAGTTCTCACATTCTGAGTTCTGAGACATGGACAGATCTTTTGGAGGGATGCTACTATGTATCCTACTACAGTGGGTATGGATGATAGAGAGAAAACTTGTATAAGCAAGCAACCAACAGCTATACCTCAATCTCGTCTCCACATGCTGAAACCAGAGGAGTGCTCCAGTCCTTGCCTTTGAATTTCTGCAACAATTTTGGCTGCTCAATAAGATATGAGGATAAAAGTCAAGTCAAGTCCAAGATCCCAAAGGCTTTGAATCATTTTTGCATGGGTAGGTACCATAGAATGGACACCCTCACCCTAAGTCCCTGGCTTGCTGGGTGATGATTCTGTAGAAACTTCAGAGGAGCAAAGCAGAATGGTCAGGGCGTTAGAGTATGCACAGCTCGAGGAAAGCATTCTCCCGGGGTGATGCTGCCATGCACGGTGCTTCTCCCCTCCCTCCAGCTTTCCCTGTCTTCAGCTCAAAGACAGCCCAAAATTATGTACCCTGTCAGTAAAGTAATAATGTGTCAATGAGAGCTTTGCTTACACCTTCCAAATGGTTTTGTGTGTGCATACACTGAGAGCAGGTCATCTCTAAGGTGAGAATGACCTCAGATGATATGGTAATTGTTTGCATTCCTATTAGATGTTTGACACTGACCCATTATTAAATGAAATTAAATAACCCATTCAATTTAATTTCATAATTCTCCAAGCACTGTTTTTTAACTAATCTTATTTTTGTATTATTATAAAAACATATGTGACAAGAAATTTTGCCAATCTGATCTTCTGATCTTTTCTTTTCTTTTCTTTTTTTCCCTTGACTGGGGCTTGAACACTCCCTAAAGCTGTGCTCAAGACTCGTGCCCTATCACTTGAGCCACAGCTCAGTTTCTGTTTTTTTTTTTTAATTGTGTGTGTGTGTGTGTGTGTGTGTGTGTGTGTGTGTGTGTGTGTGTGTGTTGCTTAATTGGAGATAAGAGTGTAACAGACTTCCCTGCTCAGGCTGGCTTTGAATCACGATCCAAGGATCTTAGCCTCCTGAGTAGCTAGGATTACAGGAGTGAGCCACTGGCATCTGGCCAATCTGACCGTTTTAAGTGTATAATCTTGTGGTATGACATACATTCACATGGTTGGGTAACCTTCACTACTAGCCATCTCTGGAATGTTTCACCTTGGCTAACTTTGAACTCATTGAAAATAGCTTCCTATTATTTCTTTCTTCTGCTCCTTGGAAATTTCCATTTTACATCCTGTCTTTATGAATTTAACTACTCAAGGAACCTCAAATAAATGGAATCCCACAGTGTCCTTTTGTAGCTTGCTTATTTCACTTAGTATAAAGTTTGTTCTAACATGCACTAGAATCTCCTTTTTAAGACTGAATAATATTCCAATGTATGTATAGACCATGTTTTATTAAATCCATACATCAGTCTATCAATAGGTACTGGATATTCCCCTTTGGGCTATTGTAAGGAATGCTGTTATAAACAGCAATGTGCAAATATCTATTTGAGTCTCTGGTTTCCCCTCTTTTGGATATGGAACCGGAAATATAACTGATGGGTCATCAAATAATTTTTTGATCGTTTCCTACCACATCCGCACAATTTTATATTCTCACCACCCAGGTACAAGTAGCACCTAAGAATGAAGAAAGAACCTGGGAAAAGAGGGTGCCTGGGTGCTAAAAGAAGAGAGTATGCCGTGGGAAGCTTGGAATTAAGATGTTATCATTTTAGTGAGAAAAGTGGGGGGGGGGGGGGAGCTCCTGAGGCCAAGGTGAGAGAAGTTCCTCACCTCCGGCCAGAATCCTGTCGCTGCGCAGCTACTGGAGAAAGTGCAAGGCGCGCAGGCGCGCGGCAGCTGAGGCGATAGTATGACTTACTTCTGATGGCCAAGTGCTGCCTTCATTTCTTCAGTGGGTAAAAGGCGAAAAGGCAGAATGGGAATGGGGCGAGAGGAGGATGAGAAGTAAGACAAAGGGCCATGCGCACATTCTATAGTCAGAGGCCAAATCTGATTTGTTTGTGTCATTATAACAGGCTCCATTTAAGGTCTAGTTTTAACTTTTCTCTGATCCAACTCTGGAGACTTCACTGAGTCACAGCTGCCACCTGTCTTGCTTACCTCGTGTTCTGCTCTCTTCTTCAAGATGTTCTCCCATGTGGGGAAGGAAGTCTCTAGAAAGCCTCACAGATGGGCACACCCCTCCATCCCCGCCTTTCCACTCTGTGCCACCTGACACTTTCAGTTTCTGATTTCTTACCAGGTAAAGAAAAGCAATCCAGTGCCCAGGAGTGTATGTGAGTGTGTGTGTGTGTGTGTGTGTGTGTGTGTGTGTGAGAGAGAGAGAGAGAGAGAGAGAGAGAGAGAGAGAGGATGGGAGAGAGAGATCAAGGAGGAGGAAGAAAATGGGGGAAGAGACTGGAATGGTAGAGGCTGCTGGGAAAATTAATGTACCATTGCTTCCCATGTCAATAAGCACTTGTATTTCAAATGTCAGATGTTTTAAGCAAAATGAATTTTCTTCTGCTGTTTATACTACTTACATATAAAAATGGAGCTGCCATAAGAAATAGCTGAAATTAAGGTCTGGGTTAGAACAGTTGGAGGCACAAAGAAAAGAAAAGAACTCTGTATATGGAGGGCGAATTAGTCATTATTCCAAAATCCAAGTTAATCACTGACCAGATTACTCTGAACCCATGTTTCAATTATCTGCAAATCAAAGACCATCTTCTAACTTAGTATATTTTGTCAATTCGGGGTTAAAAGAACTTAGGTAGTCTTAAGCAGATACAGGCTGCATGTATGTATCTATTTATAGTGTATTATAATGTAAAGTTTGCATATTTAAAAAATATGTAAATAAATGTTTATTTTAAAAGGTATATTTTAATATACATTGTTTTAATGTAATATAGATAAATAGATAGATATAGATAGATAGATAGATAGACACATTAGAGTAAGAAGAGCAAGAAGTGTAGGGTGTCTGTTGTTCTGTGTTATTTACATCTTACTCTGTATTCTGCACATACATCCACATCAAGAAATCTGAACTAATAACACCCTGGCTGCAGAAACACACAACTATTTAACTTGCTCAATTATTTATACTTAAGCCTTCAAGGCCATGCCAAAGTTAAAATTATATTTGTATAAGCGCTATTTTATAAGATAACAAGGAAAGGGGTATGAAGGTCTTTATTTTAGTTGCAGTATTGATGTTTGAACTCAGTACTTTGCATTCACTAGGGAAATGCTGAGCCACTTGATACATGCCTCCAGCTGTTTGCAATGGTTATTTTTTTGTTTTTTTTTAATTGTGAAAATACAGAGGGGTTACAATTACATGGGCAAGATAATGAGTACATTTCTTATCAAGCATTGTAGCCTCCTCCTTTGTTTCCCCTTCCCATCCTTCCCCCACCTCTCTTCCTCCCCCCCCCCCCCCACCAAAGTTGTAAAGTTCGTTTTGGACATAACGACTTGTACATCTCATTGTTGCAATGGGTCCACCTGTATCCCTATTTAAACGATTTGTTTTTCCCCTTCCCCTCCACAAATTACACCCACATCAAATACAGTGAAAGCAGGGGTTATACTGTGGAGGAGGGACATACAAAGCAACAAAGAAATAATCTTATAACTGTGTTAGAAACAATCGCATGAAAGAAAAAAAAACATTTGAATACATATCTTAGGGTTCATTTTACCTTACATCACCTTATCTGACCTTTTCTGCTTGAGTCAGACATATACTAGATATGCAATGGTTATTTTTGAGGTAGGATCTTGCTTTTGCTCGGCTATCCTGGAACACTTCCTATTTTTCGTTTCGTTCTCTGTGATGCGAGGCATGTTCTAGCATGCTCAGTTTTTTTCTGTGGGGATGGGAGTCTCACAAACTGGCTTTGAACCACAATCTTCCCAAACTCAGCTTCCTGAACAGCTGGGATTGCAGGGGTGAGTCACTGCACCAACTGAATGTTCTATTTTGGACAATGAGGTGAGTTTCAAGATCCTCGTCTTCAAAGAGAGGGGACGCAGACGTGCCACTGATGGATTTATCTTCAGAACAGAAGGCAACAGAATTTGAGAGCCACCCCAAGCCTAGCTTTGCGCTTGCTAAACTGTCTCCTCCCCTTAGGGCCAGTCACCCTGGGAGAAGGGTCCAGAGCAGCCCAGAGCACCAGACACCAGAGGTGTTCAGACACGGTCCCCAGACCCATCATTGAGGCGAAATGGCCAAGCGCACACAGCACCCAGAGACCCCATGCGTGCCAGATCTCTTCTCCTGACTCGGTGCCACCTCCCCAAGCTCGCTCTGGCTGCTGCGTTATTGCAACTGCAAAAAAAAAAAAAAGTCCCCACATCACACGTTACAGAGAGTTGTCGCAATGAGGGCTGGCAAGGCAGCTTCCGCCACCGGCCCCTCCTACCCTGCCCCTCGCCCAGTACCATGGGAAGAGGCTGCTCCCACCCCCAGAAGAACTCAATTCGCGGTGAGAGTCAAGTTCCCACATCCTGTTGACTGGGGCTGGGTACTCTCACCAGCCGCAGAGACCCAGCCTACTGGAACCTGTCACAGCCCATTGGCAACGAAGTAGCGGTTTTGTTAGAGATGGAAGACTGGATTCATGGCTGGGGTCAATGAAGAAGCTGTGGAAGTCATTTCCCAAGGGCCATCTGTATGTATCCACCACGGTGAAAGTCAAGTCAACTCCATCCAATAGCCAGGATGTTTAATGCATAGAATCGGGGGGGGAAATGTGCCAGGCTGGACCCCAGGGTTTGATGCGGGGAGAAGGGGGAAGTAGTGTACTGCTGCTGAAGAGGGGAAAAAGGTCTCAGTTTTTAGATTTCAGTAAGGAAACAGTATACACATTAAGTATGTGAATTATAATTTATTAAGCACCTAAATGTTGAGACATTGTTAATGGGGATGTGAAAAAAAATTCACTGCCAGTTCATTACCAGTATAGGAACTTGCCATGTACTATATTTGAGAAGGGCTTTTGTCACAAGTGCCATATTCTCAGGTTGTTTTCATTAACCCTCGCTTTGTTATATAATTTCTGACAACAATGTATCTTTGTCTCTGTCTCTCTGTCTCTCTCTCTGTCTCTCTTCCCTCTCTTCCTCACTTTCTCCTGCTGGGGATCAAACACAGGGACATCCACATGCACCTGCAGAGCTAGCACTCTACGCTGAGCTCTATCCTTTGTCCATACATTTTAGAAAGAAATATTATTTTATTTTATTTGTCAGTTGTGGGGCTTGAACTCTGGGCCTGGGTGCTGTCCCTGAGCTCTTCCGCTCAAGGCGAGCAGTCTACCACTTGCCACAGGGCCACTCCAGTTAAATGGACATAAGAGTCTCACAGACTTTCCTGCCCAGTCTGGCATTGAACCATGATCCTCAGATATCACCCTCCTGTGTAGCTAGGATGACAGGCGTGAGACACAGGTGCCCAGAAGAAAGAAATATTGTAAAATAAAGTAATTCCCTCTGCCAAGATTTCTAGTTAAAGGGGAAATATATAGCTTTCCACTATGTGTGCATGTTTATGAGTGTGTGTGTGTGTGTGTGTGTGTGTGTGTGTGTGTGTGTGTGTGTGTGTGCATGTTGGAAGGCTGGCTGTGGGGAACCCATCTTACTTTCTTTAATTTAGACAATGCAAATTAGTTCTTAAAAAAAAAAAACTATTTCTCTGTGAAAGTTTGAACTGTTTGACTCTGCATATTTTCACCATCCTTCCTGCTCTAAAGTTTTGCCAACTTAGGGAAGTGCTTTCTGTCTTCTCAGTCTTTTTGGTAGGCCTTCCGGTCCCTCTTTGACAGAGTGGTGTCTACACAATCATAGTACTCTAGGCAAAATGCACTCCTGCCTTCCTCCTTCCCTCTCCCACATGTCCTGCCTACAGTCTGGAAAACCCTGGACAGGAGGGCTGGCTTCCGGGAGCCTTTTTTTCTTTATTTGTGAGGTAGCCTTGCTGCCACTGTACCTAGAGTCCTGATGTAGACAACTGAGGACTGAGGGGAACAAATGGTGTTCTGTGAAAAGAACTAAGTCATGAGCAATAATATTATTTCAACATAGCAACAAAAGGAAAACTCTTCTGTGTGTCTGTGTTTGGGTACTGATGCAGGGACTTGAACTCAGGGATTGGGCACTATCCATTAGCTTTTTTGCTCAAGATGAGTGTTCTACCACTTGAGCCACACTACAGATTTTTCTTTTTTTTTTTCTTTTCTTTATTTATTTATTGGTGGTTAATTGGAGATAAAAGTCTCACTAACTTTTCTGCCAGGTCTTCAAACCACAATCTTCAGATCTTAGCCTCCTGATTATTATAGGAGTGAACCATCATACTCAGCTTATCAATGATTTTTTTTAAAGAAACAGCTTTGGAAAACTATTATCACTCACTGCATCACACAATGATGCAGTATTACATGCCATCCAGTGGAGATATTTTATTCTCTTCTTTCATAATAGCATCCTCAGGAATGATTCCGTCTCCTCTTGCTTTAACTGCAAACATGACACAAACACATCTTACAGAGGTAAAATTTGGCTTCATTGTCTTAGATTCATTAGTTAACTACAGCTTATAGGTTTTTATTTCTGTTGTGCTTTAAAACACGTACTGAAGATGAGTCTTTCAAAGGCATGCAACTTTAAAAAACATCTGCAGTTGTAACATTTTATATCATTGGGTTTATATACAATCTTATTGGGAGTTTAGAGTGTAGTCTATTTTAAAAAATTAAAAGCAGACTTTCTGGTATGATGTTTGTAATGATTCAAGAGCAGGAGAACTATCTCAATCAATGTTTTGGGGCCCTGGTCACTCTAGGATGGGAGGTTACGCAGCATCCTAGGTCTCTACAAATAGATGCTCTTCTCCCTCTCCTCTACACTGGTCATGTCAATGGAACATTGTCTCCAGGTATTCCCACGTATGCCCCAGCTGAGATGGCCTGAATGAACTTAAGTCCCTAAAGATATTTAGACATCTGAATACTCACAATAAACCCAAAGCAAGCCCCTCACTCCCAATAACTGATGGCATAGTTTAGTTTTCCATATATAACTATGTAGATACACTGGCTACAAAAGAACATGTTTTCTGGATGTGAACACCTCAGCCTTTACCTGGACCCTTGGTTCATTGCCTTTATGTAGATTGCTAAGAGCAGAAAGATTGGAGAGTACCAGGGCCTGTGGCAAGTATGTAAGTTTATAAAAATAAAACATATATAATTCTGAGAAAGGACAAAATATGGGGGATAAGGAAAGTGGATTTCTCTGAAGAGAATTTCTACAATCATACCCGTACAATTACATAGCAATGGACATGAATAGTTTGAGCTAAGCATCATACCATTATGTAACTAGTGAGGGTAACGATGAATTGCTACAAAAGACTTTGGAAAATAAATTTCAAGTAATTTGAGATGAAATGTTTGTTTTACCTAAACCATTGTAAACCCTGAGGTCATTAGATTATGAAATACCTGTTCTTATAATAAGTGGAAGGTCAATCATTAAAACATTAAGAGATTAAAACAATCTACAAACAACTGGATGCCCATTGCTCACACCTGTAATTGTGGCTACTCAGGAGACTAAGATCTGAGGATTGCAGTTCAATATCAGTCCAAGTTAGAAAGTCCATGAGATTCGCATCACCTTGACGGTAAAATTAAATTAAAACAAAAAAAAAGAAAGTCCATGAGATTCTCATCTCCAATTCATCACAGAAACAACAGGAGGGAGAGCTGTGGCTCAAGTGGTAGGGTGCTAGCCTTTGCTAGCACAAAAGCTCAGGGACCAAAATCATGGCCAGAGCTCAAGCCCTAGGACTGGCAAAAAAGAATCTATAAATAATATACAGCAATACAAGCCATTTGACCAGGGGAAAAGCAGAGTTAATACTGAAAATCTTAACACTCGAATTTCACAAATATGAAACAATCACAACTTCTACTGTACATCAGGTAAATATCAACAAAAACAAGGTGCCAAGCAGAGCTTTCTGTGTAGGCAAAGAGGCAAACATGTCTGTGAAGATATGTGTTTTATGAATATTTTACATCTGCTTAATTCATCAATATACCTAAGAAATTGGTGTCAGTTACCTCTAGAGAGAGAAACTGAGGAAGGTCACTATATAGTTTCTTCTTTGAAGCTGATTGGTTCTGAGAGTAAAGGAGCAACTACTATTTGGAAGCAACAGGTATAAACTTACAAAGTACTGGTAAATGAGGGCGTGTGATTGCACTGTCACCAGTGGATGAACTGCAGGGGTTAAATGGACTAACATACTTGTCTCTCTATTGGTACCTCTACTACCTTCTTGTGTTTAGAAAGAGATCTAGGAGAAATGGTTATTCAACCTGCAATGAAATGCAAGTGTTTTAAAAATCACTGTGGCCACTAAGGAAAAAATAAGCCTAGCCCCTTTCAAGATAAGGCGATGAAAAACCTTCTCTTAACAAATTTACTAATGATCATAAGATCAACCAACCCTACTGCTATGAATGTTTATGTTGTAATAGTCTTGGAGTTTAGCTTGCAATTTGTCAGACATGTCAGTGTGAGCTCAGCTGCCCTTTTCTTTCTTTCTTCATGGGCTTCTGCTCATTTTTATTCCTCAACACCCAGTAGGAAGGGTGGGTCAGATATCACAGGTAGTATATTATCCGTGAATACGCTTATTCTAGTTCCATTGGCTTAACGTTAGGAAGGTTTCTCACTTCCAAATTTGATCAACTGGCAAAAATGATATTCTGGAAGTAACTAGTGAATGGGAGACAGTGATGGCAGAAAAATCAGTGGATTATATTACAGGCAGTTTTTAATCTAAGAACTTTACATGCAATCAAAGAAACAAGCCGGGTCTGGTGATACATACTGTAATCCCAGCACACAAAAGGTAGAGGTAGAAGAATACAGAGTTTAAGGCAGCAAGTCTAGACTACACAGTGAGACCTTGTCTAAATTTTTTTTAAAATCCTTTGAGAAATATGGCTATCATTGTCATTCTAGAGATGAATAAAACTGGGTTTTAGAGAGGTTAAGAAACTAGTTAGGTCACACAATTAGTAAGAGCCAACGTTTGAACTTAAGTCCGTGATTTCAGAGGTTGTGCTTTTAATCTAGATGCCACAGGTCCTCTCTGGCCCGGGTTGGCAGCCAAGCACTTAAGTTTCATTGCCAAATCTACAACTTCCACATTCTCTAAATTAAAAACAGGACATGGACTTGGACAATGGGTTAGGGTATTTCAAGGGGTTTCCCCCCACAAACTCTAAGATGCAAAGTTTCTAGAACAAAGCAGAATCCCGTTTCCTTCCCAATGCAGTGAGCGAAGAGGACAGGATGATTACTAAGGTTTATCTTCTGTATTTTAAAAAAATAGGAAATCTTCTTAAGTATTAATATTCTTTAAAATGCTTTAAAATATAAACTCATTTAATTTTTCTTTTTCTTTGGGGGAAGGGTCTGGTCGTGGGGCCTGAACTCTGGGCCTGGGCGCTGTCCCTCAGCTCTTCAGCTCAAGGCTAGTGCTCTACCACTTGAGCCATAGCACCACTTCCAGCTTTTTTCTTTTTGCTTATGTGGTGCTGAGGAATCAAACCCAGGCCTCAGGCATGCAAGGCAAGCGCTCTACCACTGAGCCACCTTCCCAGCCCCTCATTTAATTTTTCTAAGCCCTATAACTAGGCATTATTTTGCCTATGATGGAGATATAAAACTAGTTTATGTTCCATGCCCATGGTCAAATAGCTAATAAAATTCACGTGAGGCCACCTGCCTCCTGAGTCAATGCGAAGTGTTAAAAATCTAAAATAAATTATAGCTCTAGAATGTTAGTTATATCAGAATGCAGGAAAGGTTTCGAATCAAAGAAATCCACCTCAGAAATAGACTTAGTTCCAGGTGAGGACTATTTTAAGTTTGGTGCTTTTTTGTGTGTGCTAGGGAGTTTGAAGCCTAAGGCTTGCCTGTGCAGAGCATATGCTTTACTACCAAGTTCCGTTCCCTGCCCTGGCAGGTGGAACTTCTTTATGCTTCTCATGCTAACGTTACTGGGTTTGCAGCTGTGAGAGCCCTAGATGCTCAGGGAAGGGCTTGGCCTTCCCTGTTTCCTCCTCTACACCCATACCTTGAGGGGCTGCTTGAGGATCTGGGGAAATCGTGGGGATACAAAATTGAGAAGGGAGGCAAGAAAGAAAATACGATCTTAGAAAATAAAGCTTTGATACAAGAGAACAAGCTAATGACGCAACGTGCAAGCTAGAAACTGAGGCTTTGATTCGAATTTTTCCCTCTGGCCTACGTCCTTCACCACCACCGTACAAATGTATATGCACTACAGTTTAAAATGGGGATGAGTGCCTGCCCATTTCTCTTCAAGTCAGTGTGCAAAGTACTCAGTTCCATGTTATATTCCTTAAGCGCATCTTAGAACCATGAGGGTGTCAGACCCTGTGATGGGTGTTCTTGAGAGCCAGAAAGGAATGAGATGGTTTCTGGACTTTGGAGCCGTTAGCAGCCCAGGTTTGCCTGTGAGCCTTTCAACATGTTATTTAATGGTTTCCTTATATGAAGATCATGCTGGGGTTGAGGTAGGCATCTTATAAATTTTCTCTTAATATACAGAACATGGCAGCTGCGTTTCCATTTGGCAGATGATGAAATGTAGACTAAGAGTCTAACTGTGGATGAGACTATTTACTAGTGGACTAAGAGTCAAATCAAGTTCTGTTACTCCTTCCATGGCACCTTCCTGCCATTTCAGCCTCAGTTTCCTTTCCTGTGAAATGAGAGTTAAATGCTGCACTCTGCTGCCGTGTCTGCAAGAATGAGATGGAACAATCTAGAATAGAGCGCACATCTTTACACACTACACAATGGTTCTTAAAATGTGTTCTGAGCTGGGCGCTGGTGGCTCCTGCCTGTCATCCTAGCTACTCAGGAGGCTGAGATCTGAGGATTGCAGTTCAAAGGCAGCTGGGGCAGTGAAGTCCCCTGAGACTCTTCTTTCCAATAAAGCACCAGAAAACCAGAAGTGGTGCTGTAACTCAAGTGGTAGAGTGTTCGCCTTGAGCTGAAGAGCTGAGGGTCAGTGCCCAAGCCTGGAGTTCAAGCCCCACAACCAACAACAACAAAAAAAATGTGTTTTGAGATATTTTAAGGTAGAAAAAGATTATCGTGGTGATATACAGACTTAGGTACACATAAAGATATTTGTAGCTATAGCTATATTTATCTGTGTATTTCTGTTAGAGACAGGGTCTCATTATGTAGCCCAAGTTGGCAATGAATTTGGGGCTGGGATTTCAGGCATATGTCACCAGGCTCAGTTTGTTTAAAACCTTAAATTTTCAAATATCGCTCAAAGAACTAGAAAAAGAATAGCTACCTTGGACACCAAGGACCGAGCACCCCACAGAATCCCCTACAGAAAATGAGATTGAGACTGGAAAGTGTACACTTGCTTTCTTTGCCAAGTAATAGCTTCACCCTGGGCAAAGAAGGAGAGACTGTTAACAGGACCTTGAAGAAAGAGTGATAATAGATGAGATAGTCTGAGGGAACAAAAGTCTCCAACAAGACTTCCTAGCCTGACCTTACTCCTTACTCTCTTGGCTGCAAATATCCACTCCATGTAAGCAGCACCTACTCTGAAAGCAAGCACACGCTAGAGCCTACAAGTTTAGATACAGTAGAGCCTTAGCACCGGGAATTTATTAGTAATTTGAACGCCTCACTCTATTACTTTGTCATACAAAGTTAGTAGTGTATGCTGTATCCCCTGACAGCAAACAGACTTTAAAAATGTGAAAAGAATCTTTACATGTCACATATGGTTGGTGAGAACACCAGCCATAGCAATGCTAAGCATGGCCACGGTGTGGAAGCCATGCTACCTAAATGCACAGCCCAGCATACCTTCCTGTCTCAAGTGCAGTTTCCATTTCACATAGTCCATTGGAAAACGTCCAAGAATTCATGTGGTATATTTTCAGATGAACAACAAATGGGGAAGTATCAAGTCAGAGTCAATCCAACCAAATAGCTCGAGACTAACAGTGAGAAGAAAGGGGGAAAAAGTTGTTACCTAGGTAAAAAAACAAAAAAAGAGCAAATCACAGTAGGATGACAAAACAAAAAAGAAGAATATGCACAACAGGAGCCTGCCCCTTTCAAGAGACTCTCACACTTATTTTGCCATAGAGGAACTTGGGTGTTCATATCTTGCTAACCAATCAGCAATGCTGTGGGCCTCAAACCAGGAAGTCCTTTAAAGGTGTAGCATTTTAAGCGGTGCAAGTGAGACTTGGGGCTCTCAGCTGGTTTTTGTTCCCTATCCTTGTAGGATGGAAAAGCAGATGTGAAGTCTCTCATGGCGAAGTTTAACACAGGGAGTCATCCGACAGAGGAAGTCTCAGTCAGCAACCGGCCCTTCAAAATCACAGGGCAAAACTCACCTTCAGGAATACAAGCCAGAAAAAACTTATTCAGCAACCAAGGAAATGCCTCCCCTCCTACAGGATCCGGCACCGGGCCCAAGTTTGCGACCCCAAAGCCACCTTTGGCAATGAAACCTACTACTGAGGAAAAGCCTGACAAGGAGCCCAAACCCCCATCCTTAAAGCCTAGTGGAGGGGGTCAAAGATTCGGAACACTGACAAACCCAGCCACCAGAGAACCTGAGGTAAAAGTGGGATTTCTGAAACCTGTAGGCCCTAAACCCAGCAATGTACCCAAAGAAGATCCCAAACCCGTGTTTCCCCGGCCTGCTGGGCATAAGCTGTCATTTCACAGTGCGAACCAAGACCAAGACTTAAAGACACCCGGCTCGAAGCCGGGGCCTCCTCTTCCAGCTCCAGAAAATGAGCAAAAGCAAGCATTCCCAAAGTTAGCTGGAGCTAAAAGCAAATTTATGTTGGCATCCCAAGAAGCTGACGCCAAACCCCTCTTCCCCAAACCTGCTTTTGGCCACAAGGCAACCCTGAGTCCCGAGGAAGCCCAGGAAGATGACAGAGCCATCAAGAAAGGACCCCCAGGACCTCCAGGAGTCAAGTCCAAAGTAGTCCCTTCAAAACCAGGAAGGGAAGATCCAGAAAATAAGGACCAAGGGGCTGACACATCCAGTTCACCCTTTCCTGGAGTTGTTCTGAAACCTGCTGCAAGCAGAGGAAGCCCAGGATTCTCTAGAAATGGCGAAGAAAAGAAAGAAGATAGGAAGGTAGACGCTACCAAGAACATCTTCCTGAGCAAAATGCACCAGGAGGAAGCAGCTTTGGGACCTTCTCCTGCCAAGTTTCCTAAGGCCCCTTCCAAGCTGACAGTGGGGAAGCCGTGGGCTCAAAGCCAAGAGAAGGAGAAGGGAGACAAGAATGCTACCACCCCAAGGCAGAAGCCACTGCCTTCCTTGGTGACCTTGGGTCCACCTCCGCCAAAACCCAGCCGACCACCCCATGTCGACCTGACAAGATTCCGAAAAGCTGATTCTGCAAACAGTAAGTTGTTTTCTCATTGCTAATTAGTACAGCTTCTGAGGGAGAGTTGAGAGCAAGGAAAAATTCCCTAATGTCTCGGTCGTGTGTATGCCATGAGTTTTCTTTGGCACCTTCTTCGTTGGTATGGGAGCTCTGAGGAAATAGGAAGTCTGAGTTCTCTGTAACATTCTATGAGAAAATGCCTAGGTGGGCTGGGTTTTTCAAGGGGACCGGGGTGGTGGGAGGAAGGAAATACACCCCTTTGATTGATGAGTGGTTTTGCTTAATGAAAAGCATTGTATTTACTTCCTTAGTTTGGGTCTTATTTCTGCTGAATGAGATTAAGGTGTTACCCTAACCCTCTCCCCCCCACACAAAAATGCAGAAATATAAGCGATCTTTTAAGTCAATAGTTCTCAAAGGGAGAACTATTATTTGGGGGAGGATTTTATTGTTGTTATTTTCTTTGTTTTAAAGCCATTTATCCTTGTTGGAATAAACTTAGCTTTTTTTTTTTTTAAGTTAACATAATGTAACATGAGTGGGTTCACCGAGATATTTCCATATTTACACACGGTGCACTTAGAACAAATTCACCCTCACCCCATCATATGGCCATTCTTCCCTGCCTTCCTTCCAAAGCAGGGTTTTTGTTTGTTTTACTTTTGTCTCTTGGATGCCAGTACTGGGGATTGAACTCAAGGCATGTGCGCTCTCCCTTAGCTTTTTACTCAAGGATAGTACTCTGCCACTTGAGTCACAGTTCCACTCTGGCCCTTTTGGAGTCCCACAGACTTTCCTGATCATACTAGCTTTGAACCACAATCCTCAGATCTTAGTCTCCTGGATAGCTAAGATTACATGCAAGAGGCCGTTCTAACTGTCACAAGTGGAGAGTACTATTGGCACCTAGCCACTAGAAGTCCAGAAGGTCTGTTAGCTTCCTAAAGAGTCCAGGACAGCCCCTTACTTCAAAGAATTATCCAGGCCAAAATGCCAACAATGCACAGGATAAGAAACCTCTTCTGTACGATTTCAGGTAATTGCATTCACGTTTCCTGAGTCTAATATTCAAATAGAAGAATAGGATTCAGGAGATGGTCCTTTGATTTTTTTTTGTTTGTTTCCTGGCCGAATTTGTTTTGAACATCTCTGATTCATAATGTAGAACCACAGCTAGAGTAATGAGCCAAATGAAGGGATATGTTATTCTCCTTCCAGGTAGATAGTTTAATTTTCTGTTAGTGCTGCCACAGTAATATGATGGTAGGTGGTGGAATTTGATACTTGGTGAAGATTTGTAACCCTGCACCATAATGAGAAAAGCTCTCTCTGCCTGGATGATGAATACCTTTGGCAAGCAATATACAATTGGTATATGTTGTGAGGTAGGAAAAGGATGCTTGCAAGTGACTATCAACTCTGTTAGTCTCCTAGCAAAATAATAGTCTCATTAAAGCATCTCTGGGCCAAACAGTTGTTTATTCCCTTTTTCTCTGTGAAGGCAATTTACAATAGGACCAGTATAGTCTTTGCTGGTACACAGATTAGTGATCGAGTCTTCCATTAAGAGAGCACCTTAGGAACCATACCATGACTACCCATTTTCTAGCATCGAGTTCACACTACAGGATATATCTCCTCATCTCTCATCTTGTGTTTCTGCTGACTTATGTATCAGAACTGTATAGAAAAGCTTTAGAAACACAGTATTTAATCAATTAGACTAGCCACTCAGTTACTAAAATATTGTGTCAGTTTGTTTCTAAAGCTTTTCTAGTAGAAATCCTGCTACTAAAAATAATTTTGTGCCTGTGTCATAAAAGACATTTATTTTCTAAACACAGAAAGGTTTTTTGTTTTTCGTTTTGTCCGTCTTGGGCCTGGGCGCTGTCTCTGAGCTCTTCAGCTCAAAGTGAGCACTCTACAGCTTGAGCCACAGCACCATGTCTGGTTTTTCTGGTGATTAATTGGAGATAAGAGTCTCATGGACTTTCCTGCCCGGACTGGCTTGGAACTGTGATCCTCAGATCTCAGCCTCCTGAGTTGCTAGGATTACAGGTGTGAGCCACTGGTGCCTGGCTTAAACACAGAAAGTATTTTAAAGGCCTGGTCAACAGACTACGAATGCTGCCTGCTATGTTTCCTAAACTATGGTAGGTAACTTAGCACTTATTTAAAAGGTTTAAAACTGTAGTCAACTTGAAAAGAACATATTCATGGTATGTAATAGCCAGATGAAGAGCTGGAAAAGAATTAAATTTCTGTTGTAACTGAATAAACAGTTCTGAGATTGTATTTATCATCCTACAGCACATAAGAATTTATTAAGTATGCATATATATTCACATGTGGCATGTTATATTTGCAGTCTTTAGATGGAGACTTTAAGGGTTCACTAAGTATAATTATCTCCCTCGTTCCTCAGTGAGTGGGGAGGCATTGAGATGTGACTTACCCAAAGTCACAGATCCAAGATTAAAACCTAAATCTTCAGTGATTCATCCATATCCTGCTGGTGTATATTATGTATAATTATGTTTCGTGTATATGTATATTATTTATGTATATTGAATATTTGCATACCATTACAAATGCACGCATATGATGTTAATATTTTTAATAGGCTCACTAACTCCCAAAGTGGTTTTCTTTTTCTTTTTCTTTTCTTCTGCTTGTCTTACGGCTTGAACTCTGGGCCTAGGCGCTGTCCCAGAGCATCATTTCGCTCAAGGCTAGTGCTCTACCACTTGAGCCACAGTGCCGCTTCCAGCATTTTTGGAGTAGTTGATTGGAGATAAGAGCCACCGGCACCCAACTGCAGACTGGTTTTCTGAAACAAGGTCTCTCTTTGTAGTCTAGACTGGTCAATTCAAAATCCTACTCTTTGAAACCTCCAGATTCATGTGTGTGCCCATCACATCTGGCTCAGTTATCATTTTAATAATTATAATAACTCATCAAGTACAGCAATCTTCATGAATTCATTTTAAGCCCAGTTGCAATATCTAGGTTATTAACTTTTAATATTAATAGTACAGACACTAATATAAGAGCTATTTGTCCTTTAACAAATTTCAGAGTCAGCAGAGTTGGGTTTTAAGCATCATCGTTATAGCTATGTAACATTAGGCAAATTGCTTTACCTCTTCCTTTTTCAATGTCGTTTCTTTAATGGCATTGAATACCTGGGCTGAGATCAGGAAGATCATGGTTTCAGTAGCCTGTGCCTGACATCCAGCAACAGTGGGACTCTTAAGTAGGAAGATTAGGGTGCAGTCTGCCTAGGGTAAAAGGCCCTACCTCAAAATAATGCTAGAGGCATGGTTCAAGTGGTGAAGTGCCTAGCAAGTGCGGGTCTCTGAGTTCAAACATCAGTCCCACCAAGAGAAGAAAAAGAAGCGGGAGCAGGAAAGCCAGGCTTGATTGCTGCTATCCCAAGACTGGTATCATCAGGGTAGTTTTTCAGGGGTATTGCTTCCAGATAGCATTCATTTTCTCCATGAACTTCAGTTTGGAAAAATAAAAAAGAAATGTCCCTAATTTTCTGTGGACCATGATGGGTTGCAGCTGCTTAGATTAGCAGCTTCCATTTAAAAAAAAAAAAAAGCTCTTCTAGATCAGCTGCCACAGACTCTAAGGGTCTGGGCATAGCTGGGCACCAAGGCTTATGCTTGTAATTATAGTTATTCAGAGGGCTGAGATCGGAGGTTTGAGGTTCAAAGCCAGCCCAGGCAGACAATTTGAGAGACTCATCTCTCTAGTTAACAAAATAAAAGCTGAAAGTAGAACTGTAGCTCAAATGTCCATCCTTGAGTGAAAAGAAATGTCAAAAGAGAGTAAGAGGCCTTAAGCTCCAGTAAGAGCATAATAAATAAACAAGTAGATAAGTAGATAAGTAAATAATCCAGCACAGATGACACCTAAAGATTTGTTATGGTTTTCAGTTAAAATGTGGGGTTTTGTTTGTTAGATTATAAATAACACCAGAAGCTCCATTAAGAGCTTACCAGTTTCTCATTTGGAATACCATACAATATAATCTTTTTGTTTCCTAGAGTTATTCCCCCACAAAAGCCTATTTTATTAGAATTTCGTGTCTCCCAAATTTGTTATATTCAATTTTAACAATGTTGTAGAATCCATTGTTGTTAGTAGTATTGTTTGTCCAGATTCAGGAAAAACTAAGAATTTAAATTATCAATGATTTTTAAAAAATCAATGATTGTAGGCTTTAATAAAAAATGTGTTCTAAAAAATATTCTCTAAAGGCTTAGCAATTAACCTGGATATGCAATTTTAATATTCTCTAAAGCTTAGCAATTACTGGATAACTTCTGATAACACTCATGCCCTTGTCCTCAACTAGATGGACACAAAATGAATAGAGAAAAGAGCATCTGGCTTGCTCATATAAGTAGCCCACTCCCTTATAAATGATACGATTGTCTAGAACATACTGCTTCCTGAACACAGAAACTAATATCTTTTTTCTCAGAGTCATTTAAGAATACAAAGATCTCAACTTACAAAAATATCCAAAATATCAAAATATTCTCTGAACTAACCATTCCTTTGGTTCCCTTTGGGTTCTGAATTGTGTGTGCAAGGACTGTTTCTCAAGTACCTGGAAGGCCTCACTAGCGAAGTTCAATCTTTGAAGAACCCTAAGCCTAACTGTTGGTTTGTGTGTAGGAGTTAGTGAAAACCTGCTAGGAAATATTCAGCTCAAGTGTTTTTCTAATCTTATTCTTTTTGTTTGGTCAGTCGTGGAGCTTGAACTCAGGGCCTGGGCGCTGCCTCGTATTTCTTCACACAAGGCTAATGCTCTATCACTTCTGATTTTCTGATAGTCAATTGGAGATAAGAGTCTTATGGACATTCCTACCTTGGCTGGCTACAAACCATGATTTTCAGATCTCAGCCTTCTGAATAGCTAGGATAATAGGTGTGAGCCACCAGCGCCCAGTAATCTTATTCTTAATACTAGAGAGAACATGAGACCAATTTTCCCTACATTA